GAACGAATAAAACAGGGCATTTTAACCTTCTTTCTGGGGGCTGCCTTAAAGAAAATCTTGTGGCAGTAAACAGAAAAGCAGAGAAGGATCAATTTTGTATTTGCGCTCGGACATATGATATTAAAGAAATGCTTTCAAAAATTCCCCACGGTGAGGTAAGAATGGCGGTGAAATGGATGTTTGATAAATTCAGGTCGAAGGGAAGGTACTGGGTCCGAATAAAAACACATGGGAAAGGAGCCACCTTTGGGAAAGCAGCTGAAGAAAAAGGTTGGAAATCAGTTTAACTGCACGATTTGGAGAAATTGGTCAACTTTCTGCTCGACTACGTTTTCTTTAAATCCGTTGGAACAATATTGAGGCAAGACAAAGGGATACCAATGGGAGGACAAGCTAGCCCCCCGTTGGCATCACTAGTCTGCATGTATGCCGAAAAGAAATTTCTGAATGAACTGGGAAGGGATGAGAAATGCCTGTTTGGAAAGAGGTATGTCGATGACTTGCTTCTGCTAGGGTTCTAAAAAAATGGGAACTCTCATGAGAAGAAGAGAACAAAACAGATAATGGATAAAATCACATCTTGTTACCACCCCAAACTGAGGTTGAAAAGAACAGACAGTGAAAATAATATCATGGATTTTTTAGAGATGCGGTTATTCATACTAGAGAATCCTACCCAGCTGGTAACAATGCATAAATTTAAAAATGATGAGAGTATATGGGAGAAACCTGACAAACCTAAATTTTTGATAACACGGAGGTTCTTATCCTTTGGACCCAGGGAGCAGAAGATTGCAACGGTAATCGGCACGATCTATCGGATTTTGGGTAACACGAACATGGATGCACTTCTTCCGAACTGCTTCATGACCTTTCACGGGGAGCTGAAAGGTGCAGGTTTCCCAACTGAAATCATCCTTTCTGAAATGGAAAAGGTCGCTTGGAGGGTGGGTGGGGAATGTTTTGTCACGCTTGTCCACAAGCTACGGAAATGCTACGAGAGTTGGAACGGGACCAACTGAGAGGAAGACATGAGTTCTCCACAAGACTGAAATGCTTCAAGAGTTGGAGCGGGAACGACTTAGAAGTCAGAAACAGCTAATGCGACAAAATGATCACGCGCTCGAGCCACACGTATCTACATGTCGTGTGACCCATTCTCGCTCTGACACCTGCATCGGATTTCTTTTGACTTTCTCTAGATTTATTTTTTTTTGCTTAGGATCCTTTTATATATTTTTTATTTTTTACTTTTTATTATCTGTAACCATGTCGGCCTACAGCTGGACATTTTCGCAGCTAAGGGTTCGACTTGCGCCCCGGGCCCAGACCGATTAATTTTTTGCGGTAAATCTGCAGTACTGGTTACAGGGGACTTATTACGTCAGGGTCCTGGATGATTCGGGGAACTGGTTGCTTGAACCCAGTGGTAAGTCGAAGCGAAGGTATTTATTGAAGGGAGCGTTCGCTCCAATAGCAGACTGAGTGGCATAGAGGAGAAGGTYTGTAACATGGGGTTGTCCCGTGTTCATGTGTGATGTGGTTATGCTGCGACAATAAACCTCTGACTGCATTACATTTTTATCTCTCTACAGAGAGTGTGCAACAATAGATCCAAATTGAAATAACTGCAAAATGGGAACAAGTCAGAGCACAAATTCGCCCTCTAAACACAATTAAAGACATTGAGCAAAGAATCCAAGCGTTCTCTTCAAGCTGGCTGGGGGGGATTAGCGGTGGGAAGATAGGGAAAGTGGAATGGAAGGGGGTTAAACGGGAAGTAGCGGAGGACCAAGAGAGGATGGATATACAAAGGGACTACCAACTGATTTTCCACAACTGGACTGATATTGACACAACTATTCCACTGAAACCCCCGGAAAACTTCCATGACTTCCCCCCCCCCCTTCAAACTGCTTAGTAGGAATGCAGTGGTACGAAATGGACGGTTGACTGGTGGTACAAAAATGGGAAGGGCGAGGGTCAGGGACCAGCTCCTGCTGCAATAGAGGGGAGAAATGAGGATAGGTAGCCAAGCTAGTCAGGCGCCCAGCAGCAGGGTGGAGAGTCCTCTTGTTTAATAATTCCCCTGTGTCCTGCTCAGTCAATCCTCGGGCTTCAGAGTAATCAACGCTGGCAGGCTGACATTGGGACAGATATACACAGATATGTTCATAGGGGTGGCCCCTGCTCAGTCAATCCCCTGGTCTCCAGGGCAATCAATGCTGGCAGGTTCTTCCCACGGTTTCTCTGATATGTTCTGATGTATGTCCCCTGGCCCCTCTATTATTCGCTATCCAAATAGAAGGCATCCTGAATAACATTCGGGCTCACACTCAGATAACGGGTCTGTCCGCCGGGCCGTCACAGCTCAAAGCAAAAGCCCTGGCAGCCGACCTGTTTATCGTCTCTCAAAATTCACCCGACTCTCTGTCTGCGGTCAAGGCATGTCTGGACGAATATGCTATCTTATCCGAAGCTGCGATTAATTGGCACAAATCAGCGGTCTTCCTCCCCAAAGTCTACGCCCTTTGTGTAGAATAGGGAAGGAAGCGGATCTGTGACGACGATTCAGAACACTTTTTAGGAGTCCTGATAGCTCTGAGAAACTGTACGACCTCCCAAGACAGCATCTTGATTCAAAAAGCCTCCCATCGAATAACAACGTGGGGCA